CGTAAGCACAAGTAGCCCGGAACGACTTGGCCGTCACCACTTGGCAGTACACGACACTTCGGCGCCGAAGGCGTCCCGAGAGGTAAGAATCCGTCAGTGGAAGTTGACCGTGTGATCCGCACTTGCAAGCCAAGGCATCCCCAAAATGATATCAAAGTCCGTGTCCAAAATGTCGAACGTCACCGGTTCGCATGCATGAGGTGCAAAATACACCAGTACGACCTCGATGTAATGGTCGATAAGTTGTTCCATCCTTCCATCCGCCAACTTGATCGCCGTCGGGTTTGCCTTCCTCTGAACTTGTGCGCCAAGGCCAGCCCTTTGCATAAAGGCTTGGCTCATGAAACTGCTAGACGCGCCGCTATCCTGCAAAGCGTTGCGGCACGCTTGCCCAACTGGGATGCGGACATAGAGGAGCGGTGCGTTGTTGTCATCGTACCGCTGTTTGTGAAACTCGCAGGCCACCTTGGTAACATACGCAAGGATGTCCCCCACCGCGACTTCGTCATCCGTCGGCGAAATTGGTGGTGCATAGAAGGATAAGTACGTATGAAGATGAGCAGATAATGTTGCGCATTGCGGTCCCGGCAAGCGACCCGTGGTTGGGAGAGGAAGCCATGCGAAATCCTCGAACGTAAGCGGGTCCAATAACTCTATGTTGAACTCGCGCGCCGGATCCCGTGAAGAACCACTTGAAGGCGATAAGTTGTCTCTGCCGGACGAGGAAGATGCCGCACACACGCCTTGTCCTTGAGCATGAGTAGCCAGCGTAGGAACGAGCCGGGCAGCATATCGACTTCCGCATGCGCCTCGGAACGAAGGGCGGTCGCCCGCGTAGCAACCGGTTTCGAAGGCATCGAGAGTGTCGTTGACTCACTCCCGGTGGTGCTCAGTTTTCCGACTGTTTGCCCTTGCCTCTCAAAGGGCAGCCCACTGTGTTGTGGCAATTACTGTTACACCACAGACAATAGCGGAACCTCGTGCGTAGCTTGTACACACGTTCGGAGAGACCGTAGTGGGACCATGGGGTTGGAGCTGCTGCTCCGGGCCCGGGGATAGATGCGGTGTTTTTCTTCGTCTTGCCGCGTCCCCGGCCTTTGCCGGGGTGGCCACCATCCCGGGCGGCTGCGAGCATGTCCCCTTCATTGGCAGAACACGGCCTCGCTAGAAGGGTCGGTTGGAGTTGTCGCTGCGACCACAACCACTTTCGGCCGATGCTGATCTCTGCTCCGGCCTGTCGCAGTCGAATGGTGGAGGTTCCTAGCCTCCTTGTTCGTGACAATGATCTGTGCGACCTTGTCAAAAAGCTCGGCCGCCGTTGTCTGGGTGTCCTCGACGAGAGTCAAGGCGTTGCCAAACGCCGGACACGACCTCGTGATGAAGTAGTGTTTGACGGCCTTGAAGCCCATCTGAATGTCTGGGACGGATGTCAAGCGTTGGTACTCGACAATCTAGTCGACACTCGGCAGCGTGCATTGTTCGAAGGTAAGTAATTTGTTCATTGCCTTGATCTTCGGCGACTCTACTTGGAACTGCTTATGCCACGCTGCCTTTAGATCATCCTAGCTGTGGTGTACGAGTCAGCAGCTACCACCCCGTACTTGAACAACTTGGCACGCGCCCCCCGACCGCAGACGTGATGTAGCTGCAACTTGAGTTCGAACTTGCGGAACCACGAAATCGGGTCCGTCTTCGTCGAATCGCAGAAGATCTCCTGATCATCGAACCGTGGAGTCGTCTTGCGTGGTGCCGAACTCGGGTTGGCGGCGGCAGCACAGATCCGCTGTTCCAATTGTTTCGTGGCGGTTTGTTGTAGCTGTGTGTCGTCCTTGAGGGCTCCGACGTCGATCTCCGACAGGTCGTTGCTCCAGCTGCTGGAGGCGGCTGTTGAGTTGAGCTAACACCTGGTCGTGCGTCTGATCCGTGTCGTCGAGGCTGTGGATGTCCTCCTGCTGTGCAATGCATGTTGCCAAAAGATCCATGAAATGGGAGTGGAGTAGAGCGATCTTGCTTTCACTCTCTTCCATCTTACCATTCTTGGCCTCGGCTCGCCAGTCCGCTGCCATTGTGAGCAAGCTCGCTCTCTGTCGAATATCTTCTCGCGTCGTTGATTTCGTTCTTCATCGGCCGCCTTTGCTGCTGCCTCGTCTTGCTGGCGCTGTTGTTCGATTGCCAACAGATGTGCCTCCTCGGCATCCTCTGCCTTCTTCTTCTCTGCGGCTGCTACGTCATCCGCCCGTTTCTTGGCTTCGGTAAACAAAGCCGTCATCCGAGCCTGATAGGCCTCTGCCGTTTCCCTCGACTTCTGATCCATGCCGGCTGTTTATAAGCGCGTGAGCATCGACCAGGCCGGAGGACTGCTGACGTGGCACTCCCTGCTGCTGCCGTGGCACTGCTGTGGGCTGATGTGTCCTGCTGACGTGGCCTGCTGACGTGGTCTGCTGACATGGCCTGCTGACATGGCCTGCTGACGTGGCAACTTACCAATGCCGCCGCAGGGGGTACCCGGAGACAGATAGAGAAGATAAGACCAGAGGGGGCAACAGCATAGGTGGGGAGGGTTGGGTGGAATAGATCGCCCAGATAAGGAGCCACTAATCAAAAAAAGAAAAGTTTGAACTTTTGCAGAGAAAAAAATTGCGAGAAAAAAATCCCGAGTTTTGCAAGTTCAGTAGGTCTCCCAATCTCCCTTGAAGTGCGAAATTGTTAACGAGAAAAAAATTTCGAACTTTCCGACTGCCAATGATTATCAGATAGTGAAAATCATCCGAAATAAAATAAAAAATATTTGGAATTACTTAGATGAGCGTACGTGCAGTTTGGAAAATGGTAACTGCAAGAGGGATTTCCCGAACCATTTTCGAAAAAACGAATTTCAGAAAAAATATTCTGGAAATCCAAATAACAGGAAATTGCAAAAGGAAATCGAAATTTCGAAAAAACAGATATTCGGATTTCCAACGACGAAATTTCGAATTTTCAGAAGAAAAACGAAAATGGAAATTTCAGGTGTTCCGCTATTGCGATTTTCCACAACAGAAATAGCGGGAAAACAAAATCCAAGAAAAGAAAAAGATTTCGATTTTCGGCAGTGAGGTCAAAATCGTGATTTTGGGTGCTAATTAGTGTGCTGTAATCAATCAATCAATCAATCAATGAAGACTAATCAACTAATTAGTCCCCGCACACGTGTCAGATCAGGTTGTCCTGATTCACGTGCGGTGTTCCGATACCAACTGTTACATGCCCAGTTGGGCGATGTTCATATATAGCCAAGGATCCGCAATGTGATGAAAAGAACTGAATGGACAATGCAGTGCTAGTGGAATCTCAACAAGCAGTGTACATCCTGATACATACAAAAATGGTGCTTTGTAGCGCAGTGGAAGACTTAGATATAAGTCCTGACCTGACCGGGACTGACCTCCCTCACGTAGTACAAAACAGCGTAGCGGAATGCTAGAATACCAATGACTAGCCCAACCAATGTCGCAACGCAGACCAAACACACATCATCCTCATCACAAGGTGTGAAGGGGCCTGGCGCTACACACAGGAAGAATGCGCCAGGTCCAGATCATGCACAGACGAAGAGGAGGGAATCAGACGAAGAAGGGGGGGGAGATGGGAATGTCGTCAACACCAAGTCTTCGTTACAAGTCCCAGATAATCCCTCGTCAAAATGTCTGAAGCCCAATGTCGAGTCTGGATCCAAATGTCACCTCTCGTAGTCTGCTGATCCAGTCAAGTCAGGTAGCAAGAGGGAGATGGTGGACTGAGAAGAGGAAGACGAAGAACTCTCCCTCTCTCTCATGTGCCAGGTACTAACCTGTGAAGATGGAGCTGTGCTGCAGGTACCTCGAAGACGAAGCTGGAGCTATGGCGCTGCAGGTAAGTCTCTCTGGCCTCCGCCCAATCTCTCTCTCTCTCTCTCTCCAGTACTACTCTAGCTCCTACTAGCACCCAGCACTGAAGACTACTGCTAACGCTACTACTACTACTGCAGCCCTCCTCAAGAGTGCTGCTGCCGAATCCTGAAGACTACCTCCTGCCTCCTGAACTGCACGTGAAGTGCCCGGGAAGCCCCTATGAACTACCCGCAGCCTGCAGGGCGGGCCAGTCTTATACAGTGCTGGCCCGTCCAGGAGGCTGCTCTTGCCAATGCCAAAACGTGCCAGACCCTGGCGTTGAAGCTCAAACAAGGGTTGTCTTGAAAACAGGCCCAAAATGGCCTGTGCTAAGACCCTGGTTGGGCCAGTCTTATACAGTGGTGGCCCATCCAGGAGGCTGCTCTTGCCAATGCCAAAATGTGCCAGACCCTGGCGTTGAAGCTCAAACAAGGGTTGTCGTGAAAACAGGCCCAAAATGGCCTGTGCTAAAACCCTGGTCTGGTGCCTAAGTTTCAGGGCAGGTCGATCTTATGAGGGCCTGAAAATGGCCCTCCGTTTCAGGCTGAAAAGACTCAGGGCCTGGAGGGCCCTGTTTTAAGCTGAAACGACACAGGGCCTGTAGGCCCTTGTTTTCAGGCTTTCAGGCTGAAAACGACACGGGCCTGAAAATGGCCCGTGCAGCCTGTTGCAGGCGCAGCATGTAACAGTAGTACTTATGGGCAATCACCAATTGGTGGATCCCTGGTGTCACTCGCAGGCTTGAACCACATGTCAACGATCTTTGTGGCCACGCACCCACCACACTTATCCCATTTGCCTAAGATTCCACCACAAGCACAGAACAAATTGTATAACTGTCAACTGACAAATAACAATTGAAATTTGAAACATTAACACGCGTAGAGCCCTGATTATTGATTGCATGCAGAAGTGTCACCCAACAAACACCATGGAGATTTTCCATTGGCAGCATAAGGTCGAGAATTGAGGTCATGAATGAGGTCAAGATTTGGAGCAGGGTCACAAACAGAGCACAATCCACAGCTGGCTGCCAAAATGATATTAGCACGTGCAGCTTCAATTACATAGAGATGATAGAGTACAACGCACCTGTCGAAGCTTCTTGATCTCACTTCTTGCCTCCTTGCATCGCCAGGCACCTTGGAAGACTATACATGACCTCAACAGCTCATCATAGCTCCTGAATGCAACATAGCTGCGCCACTTCGACTGTTTCCCCCACACAAACAGCAAACACATCAGAGGCACACATTTGCTCATATTAACAGAAGTGCAATCAGACTCACTTTCATTCACACTTTACATGCATGCAAACAGTAGTGCAGCAAACTGGCGACATGTGCCCACTCAGTACTCAGAGATATGGCAACCCCGATCCAGTTCGCTTCCAATGGCTATGGCGATATAGCGCCCATACAACTCTCTGTTCGCATACAGTGGATCACCCTGGATATCCCACACGCGTCTCTCTGACCACTCACACACACACACACTGAACGCTAACTACAGCTATGGCGGCTATGGCCGCCCCTACCCTATCACGATGGCTACACTTCGTCTCTCTTGCCCACTTCGTCTTCGGGCTCACTGCAGACCTCCTTGCACAAGTCGCTGTGGCAGCGCTTCCGCATGGCTCACGCAGGAATGAATGAATGGCTGGGCGCTGCCTCTTGATGTATACTTCTGCAGCTCGTTGGTCTGGCCCTTTCCCAGGCCCGAAGTGCACACAGTCCCATGCGGTACTCGCTTGACTGGGACAGGTCTGCCTAGGACTGGGACAGCTGACTCAGCACGGGCAGACTCCACCACTTGCCTCACCACTTGCCCACTTGCCTCAGTCTAAACGTGGGCAACTTCGAAAGGCCACTACTGGGACCTTCCGGAAGGCCGTAGACTTGGCCTTTCGTGACTGTAGCAGCTACGACTTTGACCCTTCTGGACTGTAGCAGCTACGACTTTGACCCTTATGGACTGTAGAAGCTACGACTTCTAGACCTGACTAAGACTCCTACTCGACAGGTCTACAGATCGAACCCCTGCTACCTATAGACCCTACGACAACCTACCAACTGTTACAAATACACAGGTCGCGGGTTCAACTCTAGGGGTCGACACAGACACTGTACACAGGTAAAGTGGGAACTAGGGATCAAGCCCCGGGATCTGCACCAGCTACTGCGAATTGGTGAATACCGTTTCACTCCCGCCGGCCTAAATTTGAGGTCCTCTGAGAATAAATCGGTCCAGGGCAGGACCTTTTCCTTTCCTATCTCTCTCATAGGCTCTAATTATGTCGGGAGCTGTTTCTAGAAGTTCTGCTCTTGTGAACCAGCGGTCATCCTCCGGCTCCTGATAAGCAAATCGGACCTTATACTGTTTCTGTGGACGACCTCTACCTCCTGTTCTGAACACATCTTCCCCTACAATCCCGTCAATGTCATATCTTCCGTCCATGTCTGGCGGGATCATGGACCGTCTAGATGGAAAATGTTGGCTGGTGACACACGGCAGCAACTTTGATGCGTGGAACACAGGGTAGGTGTGGAGGTGTGCTGGGATCTCTATAGTATAGGACGGTACATCCTCTCTGCCCTTAGCTTCTAGAACTGGCCACGGTCCTCTATACGCGGGGAGTAACTTCTGCGAGATGTTCTCCTCGGGTGCAAACTCTTTAGACTTGACCCAGACCAGGTCGCCTACCTGAAACTGTGATGGGCGACGGTGCTTATTAGCCTGCTCTATCATTCGGTGTTGGGCCTTCCTGAGGTTTTCAACAACAGTGGCTATCTCTTTTTCATGCTGTATCGCGAACTCCCTGGTACCGGGCGGTAGGCTGTGAATCTGATCCCGGTTCAGCCCCTCAAACAGTCTACGCGGTCTAAAGGACTTGCGCAAGGCAACGGGACAAATATAGGCAAGTGGACAAATGTGCGTTGTTATTGTATGCACTGGCTACCTTGGGTAACATCTCGTCCCAGTTGATCTGATCAGGTCTGATTTACATGCGCAAAACTTGCTGCAGGATCTTGTTCATCTGCTCTGTCTGACCGTTAGTCTCTGGATGGCGGCCGGACGACATCAACAACTTTGATCCATAGACTCTCATCAGCTCCTGCCAATTCTGGCTGATGAAGTGACTATCTCTATCGCTAACCATAGACAACGGGACTCCATGCTCACTAACCCAAAAATCGAAAAACTTCTGAATCACTGACTTTGTGCGTGCCTTTGCAAGGAACGGGACAAAAATAGCATATTTGCTAAGCCTATCAACTACGACCATGACTTGGCTCTTGTCGTGCCTACTCTTGACACCGGCATCCGTAAAGTCAATGGAGATTGAATCTCCAGGCTGGTCTGGAATGGGCAAGGGTCTGAGAAGACCCAGACGGGCACGCATAGTAGTCGTGTTCCTCTGACAGACTTTACAACTGCAGACATACTCTATGCAGTCGTCTTTCATTCCTGGTCAAGTGTACGCGTTGTCGCGCCCCCACTGCTTCAAGGGTCTGGTTAGATGTCCTTCCCCGGACCGAGCGCAGTGGGTTGGTGGACTGGCAGGCTGTCACACAGGAATTTGGTAGGTATAGAATAAAGGTGTATTCAAAGGCAGTCTTTGTCACACTTAGTCATACAGCCGGGTAGTTAGGGTTATCCCTCCTGCCAGCGGCAACACGGCTTAGAGTGAGGCGTTCGGGTTTATCGCCTGCACCTGACCCCGTATAAAGGTTAGATTCAAGGTCATCGGAGTCCCTATCATCCAGGAGTCCTTCGAGCTTCCTTGAGTGTAACCTGTGTAACATAAGGAGGAACATATCATACATACATCATAGAGCAATTGACATTGACAGAACGAGAAGACCAGAAACCAGACTCTGCGAGAGCATGACCAGAGATACGAGACTGAAGAGTAGTACACAGTGTATGCAGAGAGCAGCCATCGGAGGGCTGTAGTCACGAACAAGTCATAATAATGACATGATACATCAAAGAGAACCTCAATCAATAATGACAAGTGGTACCCCCTTGTGAGTAAGTGTCGCTGTCTGGGACTCCATATCTGGTACCCGCTGGTCCCCCTCGTCATTGAGAACTCGTGTGGCTATCGACTCTGGAAGCACATAGCTGATATCAAGAGGCGCTGCTGGATCAATCTTGCAGATATAGGCCATGCATCTCGCCATCTCCTCGTCTGCAACGCTCCTGAGAAAAAGCTCCTCTGCGAGGGTGATGTCGCCCATAGCTCCAATCAGTATCTCAATCCGTCCTCTGGAAATCTCGAGGAAACAATCTCCGTAAAGAGGCTTCCGAAAAGCCTGCATAGCAAAGTCAGCCCCGACCAAATGACTATAGCCATCTCCGAGATATGGGACTGGACCTTCCCCTCTTGGGGGACCAACAATTGCCTCGGTCCTAGGGTCGTCTGACATGCAGAAGCCAATCGCCCAGCAGATATCGTGCAAGAAGATACGCAATCCTCCTCAATGTCGCTTTGCGTCGTCGCCGCTCACCGGTCTCCAGTGCTCCTGGTACTGTCCATAGACTCAGTCTCTGTGAGTGTGAAGTAGTCGCCAAGATCAATGTCACTCACGCAGCAGGGCTCCTGGTCGCACTGATCCGTCTCAGATCTCTGTACGCATGTAGTGATCGGGACCCCGGATCTGGCTATCTCCCTCCTAATCCGGTTGTCCTTCCGCCTCTTCTCCTTGCTGCGAGACTCATTGAGGGGCTTGGGGTTACACCCATCAAAGTCGAAGAGTACACCCCTAGGTGTTGAAGGTACGCGAGTGAATGTAGCCAATTATCCCTCCAATAGCTCTCCCTGTGAAATATGTAGTCCGCAATCCTGTCATACGTGGTGCCCTTCACCCCCTTCTCTGCCCCCTTTACCAAGTAGGTAATCACCAGTGTGTGTCTGGAAGTTGGGAACTCATTGGCCCTGATAACAAAGCTCTGATGTCCCACATGTCTGTAGCACAACCTCTCAACCAGTCTACCCCACGTAGGGGCAGTCTCACGATGACGGGCCAGCTTGGACAGAAGGCGCACTCTCACTAATGCGGATGTTCCCTCCAAGACCTGGCCGGATGGAAGTCAGCAACTCAATGTAAGTGCCTGCCTGAGTGGGCTCGGCTGAACAAACAACCTCAAGGAATGGGCCCGCCTGAAGGGGCCCAGCTAAAACAACAACGATCTCGAGAAATGGGCCCGCCTGAAGGGGCCTGGCTGAACTGCAACAATCTCACGGAACGGGCCCGCCTGAACAGGCCCGGCTGATCAGCAACAATCTCAAGTAGGCCCGCCTGAAGGGGCCCGGCTGAACAGCAACAGTCTCAAGTAGGCCCGCCTGAAGGGGCCCGGCTGAACAACAACAGTCTCAAGTAGGCCCGCTTGAAGGGGCCCGGCTGAACAGCAACAATCTCATGGAGCAGGCGCGCCTGAAGGGGGCCGACTGAACAACTACTGATCAACAAGTCATCTCATGCACAGGGACCGGTCATAAATGCTGAATGTACTGGGGCTGGACTGTACCAAGTCGTCTATGCAGAGACTGAACTGCAAATGTTCCCCGTGCGGGAAGGTATCATGTGCATGAGGTGGTGCTGATCAGCAAGGAAATAAATCGACGGGTGCGTGAAGGCAAATCATCCCAACTAGATCATCATAGTACTCCCTCTGACATCATCATAGCAATCCTAGGCTCGGGCGCGCATGGGCGCGCACTCAAATGACAATATCCAGCCTGGGCACGCATAGGCGCGCACTTCTAATAACAATTCCAGGCTTGGGCGCGCATGGGCGCGCACTCAAATAGCAATATCCAGCCTGGGCGCGCATAGGCACGCACTCTAATAACAGTTCCAGGCTTGGGCGCGCATGGGCGCACACTCAAATAGCAATATCCAGCGCAAGTGCGCATGGCCGCACAGTCAAATGACAGTATCGAGCATGGGCACACATGGGTGCGCACTCTAACAGCGATGTCAAGCTTGGGCGCGCATGGGCGCGCACTCTAACAGCAATGCCAAGCCTGGGTGCGCATGGGCACACACTCAAATAGCAGTTCCCCGCTTGGGCGCGTATGGGCGCGCACTCAAATATTAATGCGGGGTGCGGGCGCGCACGGGCGCATACTCAGAAAACAATATCGAGCACGGGCGCGCATGGGCGCACACTCAAATAGCGTTACAAAGCCCGGGTGCGCTCTCAAATATCCATATAAAGCTTGGCCGTGCAAGGGGGCGCACTCAAATAATGATATAAAGTTTGGGCGCGCACTCGAGTAATAATAAAACTCAGGTGCGCAAAATTAGCAGTATCTGCTGCAGAACGCAGAATCATAATTGACAAAAGTCAAACAGCAGAGCGCGTCCTACTGCTCGGTCTAGAACTCAGCAATGTCCACTGCAGGGCACACGACCAAACAACGGAGCGTGCGTTGACACACAACCTCAAACTCAACGATGTCCACTGCGGGATTCCAAATCAATGATTAGCAAGGTCAACAACGGAGTGCTCAACAATTCCCGCCGTTCAAAGGCAAAGTCAACAAGTCGAGCGCATGCTGTTGCACTTACTCAAATTCATCAGGTCCGAGTTCACAGATCAAGTGTTTGTTGGCATTGGTTGCTGGTCAAGGCAAAGTTCTCAGATCTAAGTGCCTGTTGGTGCACTGGTTCAAAAATCAGCCCTTAGTTGTAGTGCGCATGTGCGCACAACATCTGGCCCGAAAATCAGCCCTCAATTATAGTGCGCATGTGCGCACAACATCTGGTCCGAAAATCAACCCGTCTCTGGACAGCTAACTAGGCACGGGCCTGCAACCTCTGCCGAAGGCACATGTGGTGTGGGAGATTCCTCTGTGCGAGCGCTCACTTCCCCACATGGCCTAGAAGTAGGGGCAGTTGCGACCCCTACCGGCGGCTGCCTTTTGACTCCTGGGCAGCCCACCGGGCTTGTCTATACTTAGGACAATATTTGATGATATGGGCAGGGTCACCGCAGTAAATGCACTGCCCCTGCTCCATTCGCTGCTGCCAAATCTTCTGGTCCATGCCCAAATTTTCCTAGGGCCGGCCTTGTGGCCAGCCTGGGTGCCAACCTCCTGACCTTTGAGGTGACTTGCCACCTCGTCGTTGTGGGGACCGACTAGAACCTTGACGATCTCGCGGGGGACCTTGACCCCTACCTCCCTCTTGGCGGTCCCTTTGGCTGCCAACCCCCTGAGCGCCAGATCCTCGGCCTCCCATGGCCTGGCCCCTTTGGCCCTGGCCTCCTCCTCTACCTTGCGGCCTCCCTCCAGCCTCGACAGCAGCATAGGACCTCCCCTGTCCCACGCTATTGTCCTCCTCCTCGAGGCCCCACTCAATCTGATTGTACGGGACCTCGTCAGTACCACCTTCCTCTAATGTAAGGATCATGTGATCCTTGGCCCTAAATTGGCTAGAGATGGTACGGCCTTTCTACTTTTTGCCCTTATCTAAGTCCTTGTGCCAGAAAGTGGAAACTGGCATGGACTTGGCCTCAAACAGCACCACCTCTCTACTCAGCACATCATACGTCATAGTGGGCTGTTGGGACTTGTCAAAGAAATGCCCTCGTAAGGGCTCTGGCATGGCACGATAGAAAAGTTGGACCAGTCGGGACTCCGTCACACCATGGTCCAGGACGGCTACCAGGTCGTCCATAACGGCCTTGATTGCCTTGGCAGTCCTCCATTGTCGTGAGTGGATGCGGGCCACCGGGTCGTCCATAACGGCCTTAAGTGCCTTGGCACTCCTCCATAATGGCCTTCAGGCTGAAATGACAGGGGCCTGTAAGCCCTTATTTCTAGGCTTTTAGGTTGAGAATGCGGGACGGGCCCTGAAGGCCCGTGTGGCTACGCAGTATGCCACACCCCCCCTCCTTGAAAGACTGAGCTTACCTGCGAGGGCGAAGCTGTCTGTCTGAGGGAGGGACCACAGTCCGGGTGGGAGGGGCAGGTCGTGAAGGTCCCTGAGCTAATCTTTGTCGCTCGTAGTGAGCGTAGATCAGCGGTGCGGATGCTTTCAAATCTGTTCCTAAAATCCACCGAGTGTGCTTTGAATGTAACTTTGTACTGTTGAGGCTTACTGTCGTACTTGCGATCCGTGATGACGCCGTCAGCTTCCTGATGACCATCCATAGATGGAGGGTCCTGCGATCGTCGGCCCGGGAAGTCGTCGCTCTTAGCTGGCGTATATGTTACCAGCTTCGAGGCGTGAAAGACTGGATGGACCATCAGATGCGGGGGGATGTTGATCACAAATGAAGGACCATCAGGCTCATCGCCCGCGGCTGATGTTACGGGCCATGGTCCAAACCACTTGGGAAGCAATTTGCGTGAAACATCCTGTTCCAGTGCAAACTCTTCCGCGAAGACCCAAACCAGATCACCGGCGCGGATGGGACATGGCACGCGACGCCTGTTGGCTTGCTGCTGCATGCGAACTTGAGCCTTTTGCATATTCGCGCGGGCTTGAGCCAGCAATTCCCTGTACTTCCGGACGAAAGCGGGAGAGCAAGCGGCGTCGATGTCGGCTGGTCGTGGGAGGAGAAGGTCGGCGAAGATACGGCCTTTCCGTCCACCGTTGTGCAACGCGAATGGAGTCACGCCGATCGCCGGGTGCACCGAAGTGTTGTAGGTGAACTCAATGTCGGGGAGGCGGTCAACCCAATCTTTCTGGTCCGGAAGGATGAGCGTACGAAGCATCATTTGAGCGGTTTGATGTGCCCACTCCGTTTGCCCGTCCATCAGTGGATGCCGAGCCGAACTTGGTTTCATCTTCGTGTCGGACTCCTGCATGAGAGCAGTCCAAAATGTCGACATGAAGCAAGTGTCGCGGTCGCTGACTATGTCTTCCGGTACACCGTGGCCGCAAATCCAACCGGTGTGCAAGAGGCGTGCCAGCTCGGGAGCCGTGGAGTAGTACTTGCAAGGGAGAAAACGCGCATACTTACTCAAACGGTCCACAACCGTGAGCATGCCGTCGTGCCCGAGGCGATCCCGGGGAAATGGTCTGGTGACATCCATGGCAATGGAGAGGCCGGGTTCCCGTGGGATAGGCATCGGGCGCAACTCGCCGTAGGGATTGCGATTGCGGGGCTTGATTCGTCGACAAACTTCGCAAGAGTCGCAATACCGAGTGACATCGGTAATGAGGTCGGGCCATCGGAATCGTTGTCGAAGCCGTGCAATAGTGCGGTTGACTCCGAAATGGCCGGCGAGTCACGAGTCATGGTACTCCCCGAGAAGGCGAGTTCGAAGACGACGGTCTCGTGGGACACACAATAAGTCCTTGCCTCTCGAGTGGCTGGCCGGCGGGTGATCCGAAGATAGCTGTGCATAGAACGTGGCAAAATGCGGATCCGACTCATAGCCCCGGATGAAGTGTTGTTGAAGTTCCTTGTCGAATGCGAAGGCATGATATGTCATAGCGCAAAGATCAGATCTTCGCGAGAGTGCATCGAATGCGAAGGCATGATATGTCATAGCGCAAAGATCAGATCTTCGCGAGAGTGCATCTGGTGCGTAGTTGGAGAGGCCGGGGAGATGTTTCAATGTGAAGCCAAATCGGTCAATGAAGTACATCCATCGTCCGATCGTGCTGCTCACTGTATCCTGCGTCTTGTAGTAGGTCAATGGGTTGTTGTCCGTGACCCATGTGAACCTACGACGCCCAAGGAGGAAGTGCCGCCATCGCTTGAGAGTCATCACGAACGCAAGCAGCTCCTTCTTCCTTGCATCATCAAGCGAATTGATGGGAGGCACTTTGTTGCTGAAATACTCCACAGGGTGCCAGTCGTCGCCGTCGTGTTGTTCCAAGACTGCCCCAATGCCATAGCCGGAAGGGTCAGTTGTCACCCTCGTAGGCAGGGTGGGGTCATACATGCTAAGGACGGGCGCCATGAGCATGGCCGTCTTAAGTGCTTGGAATGACCGGCGTGCGTCGTCATCGAATACGAATGGCACCTTTGGCGATTGTAATCTCGTCATAGGTGCAACAATCCTTGAGTATCCGGTGATGAATCGCTGATAGTAACCCGCCAACCCCATGAATGAACGAAGGTCCGTGGTGTTCGTGGGCTCGGGCCGTACGCGAAGGGCCTTGATCTTGTCCGCAAGCGGGCGGATGCCTTGCGGCGTCACATAATGTCGCAAGTACTCGAGCTCCTGCCGCGCGAATTCGCATTTGTCGCAGTTGGCTTTGTACTTGGCTTGTCGTAGCCGCTCCAAAACGATGCGCAGGTGTTCCACATGCTCGTCCAAACTCCGGCTGTACACCAGGATGTCGTCGAGGTAGATAAGTACGAATCGATCCAGCACGTGTCGGGACTCCGTTGTCATAGCCGCTTGGAAAGCGGTCGGGGCATTCGTAAGGCCAAATGGCATAACCAGCCATTCGAAATGCCCATATCGCGTCTTAAACGAGGTCTTGTAGCGGTCCTCCTTCCGAATCTCGAGTTGGTGATATCCCGACTTGAGGTCGAGCTTGGAGAAGAACTTGGCGCCGCCCAGTCGTTCGAGAAGGTCATCGATGCGTGGAAGAGGGACGGCGTTTCTGATCGTTTGCGTGTTGAGCTTGCGATAATCGATGCACAACCGCCTTCTTCCGGACGAAGAGAACAGGAGCACCGTATGGCGATGAGCTAGGCCGAATCCAGCCTTTCTCCAGAAGGTCGTCGAGTTGTGCCCGTAGCACACTTAACTCTTCCTCGCTCATTCGGTAGATGCAACCGCGCGGAGGTACAGCCCCGTCCTCGAGGATGATCTCGTGGCGGATGGGCCGATCCGGTACTACTCTGTGCGGGCCTTCGAACACGTCGCCATAGGCGTCGAGAAGCTCGGTGATGCGTGGGTCCAAAGACGAGTCCGTCGATGAAGCGTCATGGGGCGGGAGGGCGTGGAGAAAACACACCCCCATCTCCTCGATGTCATCTCTGATGATGGAAGCTCGCATGCTTGCGGCGGATACCACGTGGCAGCTGATCGAAGGGTGAGGAGGAGCCACAGTACATGGGACAAGTACGCCGTTCCGTTCACGAACGTGAACGGTGCGGCGATAGAAGTTCACCGGGTGATCCTCGCTTCGCAGCCATGACATGCCCAAGATCATGTCGAATTTGGTGTCCAAAATATCGAAGGACACCGCCTCGCTTGCATGCGGGGCAAAGTACACGGGGATGTCATCTATGCACCGGTCTATTGACTTGTGCATGTGACCTTCTGCCAACATGACTTTCGTAGGCTAGGACTTCCTCCGGACGTGTGGGCCAAGGCCAGCGCGTACCATAAAGTCCTGGCTCATGTAGTTGCGAGATGCTCCGCAATCGATTAAAGCGCTGCAGGTCGCCTCTCCGATCTGAATACGTATATATAACAATGGTGCGTCGATGTCGTCGTACCGTTGTCTCTTGAACTCGCGGTCGATCTTCGCAATGTAGGCGTGAAGGTCGACAACCTCTACTCCGGCGTCCATCAACGGAGTTGGTACTACAGTGTGCAAGTAATCCCGCAATTGTGCCATGAGCACGTTGCAATGCGGTTTCGGCAATCGACCAGACCAGGGAAGGGGCATCCATTGGAAGTCCGCAAATGTCAATGGGTCGAGCTCTTCAAGTCTTGACCATGACGTTGAATCCCCGACGGTAGATGGCGGCGAAGCTGCCGAATCGGTTGCCGATGGTGATGAAACCGTGCATGCGGTAGCGGTTGGTCCAACGGTGGGACTAAGTGGACAGCATAGTCCCCGTAAGCATACCGAGAAATCACGGCATTCGCATCCTCCCCAGATGTGTAGGACGCCGCTAGCAAGGCGGCCGAATCCGGCGGAGTGAGAGGTGGAGTCGCCTCACCTCCCGCGGAACTCAGTTTCCCGAGTTGATACGAGGCCGAACATCCTCCTTGCCTTTATCCGGGCATTGGGAGGTCTTGTGCTTGGTGTTGTTGCACCAATTGCAGCAGCCGTAGCGGTCGTGCCACTTGTATTCTGCCTCAGTCAAGTAAAACTTGACCCATGGTGTTGGCTGTCCGTTTCCGGCCGGCGATGCGATTTTCGCCTTCCCGTTTCCTCGGGACTTGTTGATGCTTCGCGGCTGGACATCAGCCACCTGATCTCCCTCACGTGACGCTTGGGTGGCTGCCGGGTCTTCCACAATGTTGTCCGATTGGACTGCAACGACATGCTGCGGCCGCGGACCAGTTTTCACCTTCTCCACATAGGTTGGCTGCCATGCTGATTTCTCATGTGCAGCTGCCCTATTGGTCTTGATGATCTCCCTTGCCTTGTCGATGATTTCGGCGAAGGTCGCGTATGGCTCGCGATCACCAAGTGCAAGGCTCAAGGCGGCACATGACCGGTTGTAGAACTCGCGGCGCAGATGCGAAAATGGCAATTCAAGATCGGGCGTTGCCGCGATCTTCTGCCATTCCGTGAGCCAGTCACGTGTCGATGTGTTGCCTTGCGTCATGCTGAAGAGGCGGTTGATGGCGAGCGTCGGGGCGTCGTCCACGATGAACCGCTTCTTCCATAGTCGTGTTAACTCTTCCCAAGAGATCTTGTCTTTCAGATCTGCGACGTCGACGCCGTGGACGGTTGCCAGGTCGCTCAACCAGATCTGGCATCGCCCTTTGAGTTGAAGAACAGGGCGCTGATGTACACGTGCTTGGCGACGAACAAAATCCGAAGTTGCGTTGTAAAGCCCTCCCACCAGAGGACCGGGTCTTGATGCGTATAATCATCGAACTTCTCGATTTGGAATGTCGGCATCTTGTAGTGCTGCACGGCGTTGCTATCCTTGTTAGGCAGCTGGTGCAGTTCCTGAACCTCGGACTTCAAGGTGTCCAGCTGATTGCTGATGGTGGCTGGTGCAACGAAGGTACTGATGTCGCCGAGCATTGTGACTACGTGATCAACTCGTTCCTCCAGTTGGTGGGCAGAGGGTGCAGTGCTGGACTCGCCAGCCTCCGGTTTTGGTGCAGTTTGCTCCAAGTCCTGTACACGGGAACCAAGTGCCCGTGCTGCATCCTCGGATGGTTCAAAGTGCCAAAACTTGAGCTTTTCGATGCTAGTGGCTTCATGCCGCTGTAGCAGATCCTGGGCTTCCTTGCGGCGTGCCTGGGTATCTGCGTCTGCTTCGGCCTGAAGCCGCTGCTTCTCAGCTGTTGCCGCCGCTTCAGCCTGTAGGCGGACAGCCTCGGCTGCCAGCTGGCGCTGTTCCTCAGCTGCGATTAGTGCGAGCTGAGTTTCGAAACGCTGTCGGTACTCGGCAATGGACTCATTTGCCAGTTGGCCTGGCATGCCCAGAACTGAGCCCGTCATGGTGGCGGGGCACTGCTGACGTGGCACTGTTGCTTACGTGGCACTGTCGCTGATGTGGCACTGTTGCCGACGTAGCACAGTTGCTGACGTGGCACTGCTGACATGGCACTGCTAACATGGCACTGCTGACGTGGCACTGTGACTGACGTGACACTGCTGATGTGGCACTGCTGACGTGGCACTGCTGACAAGGCACTGCTGACGTGGCACTGCTGATGTGGCACTGCTGTCGTGGCACTGTTGCTGACGTGGCACTGCTGACATGGCACTGTGCCAACTCGGAAATGCATGCAAAGTGGGGGGTGGGAGGGAAGACGCAGGTAGAGAACCAACCCAACAATACTTTCCTGCCGGCCCTAATCAACAGATAAAATAAAAAAATAAAAGACTACTTCCTTTTTTTTTTTTTTTTTTTTGTATATCTGTCGATCTGTTATGAGTGAGACATGTCAGAAGAGTACTATGAGCGAGATCTAGGCTAGGATCCGCAAAGTTTCGGCTTTCACAAAATGCGATCTTGAATTTTTTTTGCGAAATAGAGTAGAGATACGATTTTCCGAAAAGAACTAAGTCCAGTTTCTGAGAATATGGCAACCTCCGAATATGCCAAACGAAATGTTGGCAGGCTTCGCAAGATTTCGGTTTTCAAAAAAAATTTGCGAGATAGAATGGAAATTCGATTTTCAGAAAAGAATAAATCCGGTTTCCGAGAATATGACCACTTCTATCGTTATCCCAATATGCCTAGGAAACGAAATGTTAACATCAAAAATTTTCAGCTATGTACGCAAATATAAGAGAAACGAAATGCTACTATCAGGAATTTTCAGACAAAACGAAATGCGATTATCAGAAATTTTCAGATATTTGTTGCGTGAAAACAAAATACTAATATCAGAAATTTCAGGTAAAACGAAATGCGATTATCAGAAATTTTCAAATAGTTGTTGCGAGAAAAAAAGAAAAAAAATTCAGAGATTTGACGAAGTCCTACTTGATTTACTAATGAGTAATCAATAGATCAAGCAAGCTGGCTACTTGATTGAGCGGGTCCTCTGAATGAGAGGTCCGCTCCGATACCAAACTGTTGCATACTGTAAAGGTGAAGAGCAGAACAAGAACCGACCTCTCTAACAAAGTACAAGATAGCGCATGGAATAGCGGGTGCCAGCTCCAATACCAATGCAATCATACTCGTTTTCAAACACACTTTTCACACATGTAAACAGTAACGCAGCACACTGGCGACATGCGCCCACTCAAAACTCAGAGATATGGTTTTCAGAT